TGAATGACTTAAAGAACAAATGAACTTAAGACATGGCTTATGAGGTAATGGATGAGCAAGCCGCATCCCACCTTCCTTCCAGCCAAGGTTAGGATGAAACGGGAACAGAACAGTAAAGGAGGTGCAGTCTTGAAATTCACATGGCTCACCCCACAGAAGGTGTCTGCCTGGCCCAGGCTCGGCAGCCCCAGCTGCTACTGTTCCTGTATGGATCCTAGGTGGTGTGGGTCCCGCTGACTTCAGGGGAAGGTGCATGTGACTCAGCCTCCAGCCCATGGAGGTCTGAGCCCCAAGTGCTTATGGAAGGCTGGGATTCCTCACAGGGTGCACTCCACGTGCCTGGTGCTTCTCGATGCTTTTCACAACCCACAACGGGAAATGCGTTTTGCATGGGACCACTACTCACATATTTACACATTACTTATTGTCTATTCTAACCTTCTAGAATCTCTAAAAATGTACTCTTGCAGTCAAAAGCTCCCTGGGCCCTCTGCACATCACCGGGATTGTCCATCCTATTGGGACCACATGGATTGAATTTCATTTTTGTTAGAATGTCTTCACAGGGAGTTGCTATGATTCCACATTGAAATGAAAGGCTTTTGAGTATGCAGAAAAATGCCAGAGCAGGGCATTAGGTCACAAAAACCAGACTCAATATTAGGGGAGCAAATATTCATCATAGGGAGAATGACCTTGAGGCCACATGCTTGTTTTTTTCCAAAACAACCACCAAGGGTTTCATGAGACTTAAGAAGGGAAGTCTCCCACAAATAGTTGAAGTGGGGTTGTTTGGTGACTGAGACACGTGCAAAAGGAAGGACCAGAGTGCACCCAGCCATGCAGCCAAAGGCAGGAGAAATGGCCACATCTCTCAGGATGGAAGAGAAATTCAAAGCACCAAGGAGCTGTTGTGACAGATTCTGGTGTTTCAAGAGTCTGCTGTTTGCTGCCATTCATTGTGGTGTGATTGGCTGTGTGTCTTCTTCTTATTCACAAAAATCATAGTACATCTTACAGATCAAGGCACTCCCCGATGCACTAAAGAACGCACAACTGAAACACATTTTGCAAGCCAATACTCATCTGTAGTGTGCAAGGCACTGTAAACATTTTAGATTTTATTCTTCATTTTTTAAACTCTGGCCATGACCTACTACATTGATTTCCTGGCACATTTAACGGACTGTGACTTGCAATTTGAAAGGATGGCGCTAGCAGCCATCTCGTCTGCCACGTGCAGGAAGCCCACCGGAGAGGCGGACAGGAGGCGTGACGTCATCCGTTGTCTAACTCGGTGCCATCTGACAGAAACACAACGCGAGCCGCAGATGCAGTAGACAATTTTCCGGTAGCCAGGTGAAAAGTGTAAGAAGCAGAAGGTGAAATTAATTTTAACAGTATGTTTTGTTTAGCCCAACATATTAAAAAATATCATCTTAAGCAATCAATATGCAAAAATTCGCCATGAGCTACTTTACATCCTTTTCTTCATACTGTGCATCGCTTACACTTACAGCCCCTTCTAATTCAGACTAGACCCATTTCGTGCATCTAAAAGACAAGAGCCACACATGGCTAGTGGCCACCATATTGGGCAACACAGCTCTAGAGCCAGGATCAGCAAACCTTTTGTGGAAAAGGCCAGATAATAACTATTTTAGGCTCTGCCAGCTGATGGTCTTTGGCAGGACTCCTCAACTCTGCCATTGTGGGAGGGCAGACACAGATAATACTTAAACAAATGGTTGCGGTTATGTTAGAATAAAAATGCATTTACAAGAACAGGCGGAAGAACAAATCCGGCCCTCAGGCTGAAGTGTGCCACCCTCTGATGTGGGTCATTCCATGCCTGAAGCTATCAATACCTCCAGACCCTCTGGTTCAAGCCAACAAACCCTCTTCTTCAATTCACTTATGATGATTCGAGTAAGATGGCTGCCGTCTGAGGCTCCTGCCCCCACTGAGGGGCGCTGGGCGGCTCTCAGAGGTCCTCTGGGTCCATTTCCACCCAGCCTTCTCGTTCGTTCCTCAGAGAGCACTTCTCAGCCTGCGCTGCCCATCGCTGTCTTTCAGAGAGCCTGGCACCTCCACTCATCTCCCTTTCTCGGCTCTGAGGCGTTGGCTGGGTCCTCTTGCATTTGAAAAGCATGGAGGGATGTGAGGTTGACTTCTGTGACAGCCAGCATTGTCTCTCATGGATTTGGAACCCCCAATCCAGGGAGTAGGGAAAATTGTCAGGCTGGTTCAGAGCAAGCTGGCCAGACAGGCGGAAGGGCCCTCCAAGTGCATAGGCTTCCAAGGTCTACAGAAAAGCATCCACTCCTTTCCTCCCTGGTCACCACTGCCTTGAGGCTGCAAGAGAAGCTGGTGGACGCAGGGCCATAGCATCTCTCACAAACACAGCACAGTGTCAGCCAAATGGCGCCAGCATCTGACTTCAGCTCCAGGAGAGGCACTCACCCAGCCCTGCCCGGGAAATGATTTCCAAATGACAAACATTAGCCTAGAGGTTTCCAAATGCCATTCTTGGAGCCAAGTGTTCATTATGGAATTAAGGCATGTAGCAGGCCTCCGCAGGTTTGCCTGCCCATCCCTCGCTCTCCTGCGGGTGATTCCTTGTCCCCAGTTGGTCTCCAATGATTGGGGGACACCAGACCAATGAGCCATTGCCCTGAGGATTCTGGACTTGGAGAAAGCCAATTTGCAGGGAGAGTAAAGGAAGACAGTGGCTGAAACACCAAGTGAAGCCAGTGGGGACGCAGCCAGGGGACCCGTGGGTATGCATGTCCCTGGATCTCATAACCAGATCTAGCCCGCTCTTGCTTTCCTAGTGGCTCAGTGGCTCTTACGGGCAACTCCAAGTCTCTCAATAAGCCCCTTTCTGCTTCAGCGGTTCCCAGTTTGTTCCAACCAGTACAGGCAAATGAGTCCTGCTGAGTCCGACTACATGAGCCTGATCTAACTCAGGTGATCCCGAGTCACAGTGAATGCACTGAGGTGAGAAAGGCAAGGGACACCCGGGGGGCTCAGTCCTGCCGGGGCAGCAGCCTGTCTGAGGCCAGAGGCCTCCTATGGTCCCATTGTCTCGGGGCTTAGTTTAGCTGTGGGTCAGCGCCTCTCCTGCCCAGGGGAGGAAGCCCCTGCTCACCTTCCCGGGTAGGTTGCTCTACCTGCTCCCCTCGGGATGCCCGAGCAAGTCTGCCAGGTGGGGGGAGCAGGAGGTTTGCTGACTCAACCTGAGTAGCCTGTCTGGGAATCTGAGGGCTGGGCCAGCTGGAATGAGATGAGACGTTAACCTGAAGAGAATTCCCTTCCCCGGCACTTTTCTCCAGAAAACACTTGTGACTTGTAAATACCACATGTTGTTTGGGGCATTATAGGCATGACGTGGGGAATGAACAACAAAGTCACAACAATCTGGGACAAACTTCTGGATAGGGTTAAATCGTCCCCCCAGAACTGTGGACTGTGACATGATTTGGACATAGATCTTTGCAGGTGTATTTAGTTAGGACAGGGTTAGGCCAGATTAGTGTGGGTCCCAAATCTAGTGACTGGTGTCCTTATAAGGAGAAGAGAGGACAGAACACACAGGACGATGGTGGAGGCAGAGGTCAGAGGTGTGCAGGTACAAGCCCAAGGCATGCCTGCACACACCATAAACCAGGGAAAGACAGGGACGCTCCCGCCCAGAGCCTGCAGAGCAAGCACCCTGCCTACACACTGATCTCCAACTTTCAGTCTCCGAAAGAGAATAAATTTCCATTGCTTTAAGCCATCCAAATTTGTAATTTGTTACGGCAGCCCCAAGAAACTAATGCAGCGGGCCACCCAATGGAAAGAAATCCCTTAGTTGGGTGGTCCCCCTCTGTGGGGCCCCAGTGCCCACCCTGCACTCTGGTCTGCTCCTTCCTAGCGGCCACACGAAAGCCTCCCTCGGCCTCATGCTCCACGGGCCCCTCTCTGTCCTGGAGGGGGGCATCCTGCCGGCACCCACAGGCCCAGAGAGCTCCTTCCTCAGGGTTCCCTGTGCCCACGCAGAAGGCCCCATCACAATGATCTCAGAGGATGGTGGTGCCTGTGTCTGCAGGGTGCCTCCTTCTGCAGCGAGCTCCTGGAGGCCACCCAGGGCCCCGGCCAACTCCGCGCCAGCCCAGAGAGGCAGTCCGTGGACAGGGTGCCAAGTGCGAGCACTCGGTAGAGACAAACCTTGAATGTGCACGAAGCAGCCGCAGCTGGGGCTTTGCTGGCAGAGCAGGGATTTGAGAACAATAGTTCCTGTTGACCACGGGCTTGACAGATAGCAACACTGGACCCAACTCTTGCCACCTGCATGGATCCTTTCTCCTCACAATCCATGGGGGACACACTCGGCTCCCGTTGGATGGGTGAGCTGACTGGGGGTGCTGTGCCCAAGGGCGGCCAGCCTCCCCCTGTGCCACCCGACTCTCAGGTGCACCCCGGCCCTCCCGGGCTGTCTCCCTTGCACCCGCGGGACAAAGCCCATGGTGGTCTCCTCTCTGAGGCACCCAGCCCCACCCTCACTGTGGGAATGGGCAGCTGGAAACGGCCACTCGCATCCGTGACTTCCCTAAATCTGGACAATTATAGATCGTATTTCTGGAGCATACTTAGCTCATAATAGGACCAACTTGTTGCCACTCTTGAAACTCTTGCTCCTGGTGATGGAGGACACACGGAAGAGGCGGCTGGAAGTTCATGGTCTTCTCTATCTGTCGCATAAACGTTGCTAGCGTCTCCCACAGATCAGTGACAAAGGCAAACTGAGATGAGGGGTGCCCACAGAAAGCCCCCTCGCATTGTCCCTTAATGCCACCTCCAGGCCCATGAGAGCACCTCACACGTCTCCCCTGCCGGCAGGCCAGGGAGGGCCTCAGCCTGTTGTCTCCAAGCCTGGCACGACTAGCCAGTGCCAGCAAACAGCCTTGCTCCCTGCCCCCTGGTGCTGCCCTCTGTGAACAGGAGCTCACCGCCAGGCTTGCAAAGTGCTGTGAGGATCAAAGATGGGCCGGCACGCAGGCAGCCTCAGAATGGGCTAATCGGTTCCACTCCCTGTCACCGAGTGATGGAGGAAGGCTCTCTTCTAGGGACCTGTAACCAAACCAAAGCACAAACTGTAACCAAAATTCAAGCCCGAAATTCAAGAGTGCGCTGTGGATGGAAATGTGGCCCCCTTATACTGCCCAGGGTGAAGGCCGAGCCCTCATGGGGCTGTCTTTGGAGAACTAAGGTTCTAGGTGGTCAGTAGGACCAGTCCTTCCAAGAGAGACAGCAGGGACGCGTGTGCTCGGAGCACAAACTACGCGAGGACACAGCGGACAGACGACCATCTGCAAAGCAAGGAAAAAAGAACCAACTCCGCCGACACCTTGATCTTGGGTGTCTAGCCTCCAGGACTGGGAGAAGATAAATTCCTGTTGAAGACCTCCGGTGGGTGGTACTTCATTCAGCTGCCCTAGCAGACAAATATACAGCAAGCATCCCTGATCTTACTTACTGGTTTTTAAAATTCAATTTTTCAAATCGACTCCTTGATCAGTACCCTGCCATGTTCCGAGACAGGCACAAGGGTCTCAGAATCTATGTTTCTAGGGCAGTGGTCTCCATGGACATTTTCAAGAGCCACCCGCAAAGCTGTGAGGATGAGCCTTTCACATTTACAGGTGCCTGGCTCCTCAAGCTCCCGTTCTGGCGGGGTGGCGGGAGGGGGGGGGTTGGTTCAGAGTTAGTGGCATCGGTTTGCACTGGGAAGCTGCTGTGACATCTTTGGCATGGGGGACACTGTGCTGTGTCCAGAGCCTGGTAGGGGATTCCTCACCGCACACTGCTTGGACAATGCTACATAGACGGTGCCGACCTCGGAGCTCCTCAAACCCTTCTCCCAAAGCATCTGGGACATGTCCACAGGCCTCAGCGGCATATTCTCCCCTGGGCAATTCCAAGGGATGTGCAGAGGAGATTTTTTCCTCTCTTTTAAAATGCACTTAGGAATGGCTGTGTTGGTAAGCTGGGGATTCCAAGCACTCCCAATTACTGGAATGTTCTCCCTAATTTGAAATGTTTTCCTTTCACAGCTCCCAAAAAATTGCACAAACGATCCCACTGTTCAGGTTTGGATCAGAGCTCCAGCGCTGGCTGTTGCAGCAAGAGGTGGGGCAGGCAATTTAGACACCCCATTAAGGCGATAAAAACCTCTTTCTGCATATTGAAATATACAAAAGGAGCAGGGACTCGGCAGTCAGCAGCATGCAAGCATTTCCTTGTGGGGCACCAATGAGAAATAGGCCTGTTGACCCAGTGGATGCACCAGAGGGGCTGGGCAGGTGACCCAGGGAGCCTGGACTGGGTGCAAGATCCACTGGGTCCCCCACCTCTCCAGCCAACCTCCTGGGCACTGAGAACAGTGCCTGGGGCCTTCTCCACTTCTGATGCTTGTTGGCCACAAAGAAGGTCCAATGAATCCTGAGACCACTGAGTAGGAACAGGTGCCCATGGCCAGGAACCCAGGCCCAAGGTGCTCCCGGGAGCAGAGCCGGCTGTGAGCAACCACCTGGGGGCACGATTTTGGCCAAACACAGCTCCACAGGCTGTGCCCCAGAGCAGCAGAGCGAAAGGACTGGGCACTCTGTGATGGCTCCCAGACCCCGAGGGTCCCGAGTCAGGGGGACCCCCATGCACCCCGGACTCAGGGTCCTGAGAACAACTGCATTTTCACGATGACAGCTGTCTCCTCCTAGGGCCTGACACTTCAGGCACTCTGCCCTGCTCACATGCCATCGTCCGCCTTGACAAGAAACCGAAACAACGACCCCGGAGCAAAGACTGGGACTCTACCTCCCAGCTGACATGCCAGGAACTCCCTTCCTCGGGCAGGCCCTCCCAGCCCCGCTGGGCGCCGCAGCCTCGGCTGGCTGTGCTGTGAGCGTGGGCCATGCGCCGGGCACGCAGGCCGGTCAGCCCTGCCGAGGGGTAGCTCCGCAACCTGCCAGCATCGCCCTCCAGCCCCCCCAGACACACCGCCCAGCCGGAGTGAGAGGCGGGTTCTGGGCAAGCCTTGCCAGCCAGGGTGTGGGCCCAGAGGCCACACGGCCACGTCCTGAGGCCTGGGTGACTGCAGGGCTCTGAGGGGGTGCGGCTGTGATGGTATTTATCACAGCAGGTGTGAGGCCCCAGAAGGAGCAGCTCTCAGGGCCTGGGCCAGTGCCCAGGAGGTGAGGGGAGACCCCTCGTGCTTCAGGAGTCTCACGGGGGCAGAATGAATCCAGAGGAGCCCAAGAAGGAAGCAGGTCTGATTCCCGGGGCCCAACTCCTGTCAGTTGGTCCTTTCGCCAAGTGTTCCCTGGAGCCTTTGAGCTCCTGCTTCTGGCTGTAATGGTTCCAAGGACCCACACTCTGGGCCTATTAGTGACCTGCAGCTGCCAAAACAGGCTGTCACCAATTGGGTGACTTAAACCAAGAGAAATGGATCCTCTTACAGCTCTGGAGGTCGGAAGTCCAAAACCAAGGTGTCGGCACGGTTGGGTCCTTCCATCACTTTATGACTCCCTCCCAGCTTCTGGCGGCTTCCCACAGTACTTGGCGTCCTGTATTTGCAGATTCTTCCCTCCAAACTCTGTTTCCGTCTTCAGATGGTCTTCTCTGTCTGAGTCCCTCCTTGGGTCTGATAACAACCCTCTCCTTGGACTTAGAGCCTGCCTTGATCCAGTTGGATCTCATCTTGATCCTTGATTACATCTGCAAAGACCTCATTTCCAAATAAGGCTGAATTCTGAGGTTCTGAGCACAAATGAATTTTTCGGGGAACACTATTCAACCCACTAGAGTGGGTGTGGGGATTGCTTGTCCAGTCCGCAGTGCACAGTACGGACACTGTGTCCACACCCATCCAGGGCTGGGGCAGGGAGGCCATGAGGACATGGATCCAGCTCTCCTCCAAGACGGACCTCCTTTTATTTTCTAACCTCCTTAATTTTTACTTTAATTAAGTCCAATTATTGCAACAACCCTGGTGAATTGAAATCAAGGATTTTTTTAGTTTTCTATTGCCATTGTAATAAATGACCACAAACTTAGTGGCTTAAAACAACCCAAACTATCATACAGTTCTGCAAGTCAGAAGGCCAATGTGGGTCTCAATGGATGACAGTCAAAATATACCTGCAGGGCTGGGCTCCTTTCCAGAGGCTCTAGGGGAGAATCCATGTGTGTGTGTCTTCTCTGGCTGCTCCAGGCTGCCCATGATCCTTGGCCGTGGCCTCCTTCCTCCATCCTCAAGGCCAGCAAAGGCAGATTGAGTCCCCTTCACATCACATCACTCTGACTTCCTTTTCAGCTTCCCTTTTCTACTTCGCAGGACCTTGGTGAGGATACCAGGCCCACTCAGACAATCCAGGATCATCTCCCTACCCTAAAGTCAGCAGATTGGCAACCGTAATTCCATCTGTAATCTGAATTTCTCTTTTCAAGTAACCTAATGTATTCATGGCCCACACTCACAATTCCAGGAATTAGGACATGGACAACTTGGGGTGGTGGGTTTATACATCACTCTGTTTACCACGGGGGTTTTCCTAGATATCTTCCTGCTCTTTATACCTAATCTCACTCCATACTTGTCAGTGTACATCCTCTGCATTAATCCAGTTCCTTAAATTTAGTAAGACTTGTGGAGATGTGGTCCAGTGTGTGGTCATCCATCTTGCAGAACATACCATGTATTCTGAAGTTGCAGGTATGGTAGAAATATCAACTAGATCAAGGTAGTTGATAATGTTCTCATATCACTCATATTTTAACTGAAATTATTTCTCTATTTCTATCACGTGCTGAGAAATGGCTGTTAAAAGTCTCTAAGATTATAGAATTTTTACTTATTAGGTACATACACATTTATAATTATTATGTTTTCCTGATGAATTGACCATTTTATCACTATGAAATGTCCCTCTTTATCTCTTAATATTCTCTGTCTGGAGGTCTATTTTGTCTGATTTTAATGTAGCCATTCCAGTGTTCTTATGCTTACTGGTTGCATGATATACCTTTTTTCCAGGTATTTATGCTCAGCCTATCTGGGTTTTCATAAACCCAGATAGGCTGGGTTTATATTTAACTAAAATAGTTAAAATAACTATTTTAAAGTAATATATTTAAAATAACTACTCCAGCTGGGTCTTGCTATTTTTAATTTTTATTTTTAATTGTGGTAAAATACACATAAAATTTACCACCTTAAATGTACCATTACCATCTTTAAGTGTAAATTACCATTTTAAAATATATCTGCATTGTTCTGCAACCAATCTCCAGAATGTTTTCATCTTGCAAAACTGAAATTCTATACCCACTACACAACTCCTATTTCTCCACCCCCACCACTACTTCCAACCCCTTGAAACTACCATTATACTTTCATCTCTATGAGTTTGACTATGCTATGTAACGCACATAAGTGGAATCATCCAGTATTTGTCTTTTTGTGACTGGCTGGCTTACTTCACTTGGCATAATGTCTTTGAGGTTCATACATATTGTAGCCTGCTTCAGAATTTCCTTCCTTTTAAGGCTAATATTCCATTGCATGGATTTACCACATTTTCTGTATCTGTTCATCCACAGATGGACATCTGGATTGCTGCCATGTTTTGGCTACTGTGACTAGTCCTTTAATGAACAGATGTATGTACAAATGTCTCTTCATGTCCATGCTTTCTTTTTGCTTGCTTTTTCTTTGGGTATGTTCTCAGAAATGGAATTGCTGGATCATATGGTAATTTTATTTTTTAATTTTTGAGGAATTGTCATACTGGCTTATATACCAGCTGTACTATTTTACATTCCCACTAATATGTGCAAAGGGTTCCGATTTCTCCACACCTTTGCCAACACATGTTATTTTCTGCTTTTTCTTACTGTAGCCTCCTAATGAGTATAAGATGTGGGTTTTGCTTTTCAAAATCCATTCTGACGATCTGTGCCTTGTAAGTGGTATACTCAGTTCACTAATATTTAATGTAATTTGTGATATGGTTGGATTTAGGTATGCTACTTTATTATTTGTTTTCTGTTTGTTCCATCTGTTTCATGCTCCTCTGTTCCTCATTTTCTGCTTTCTTCTGGATTATTTGAATATTGTTTAAAATTCCATTTTAATTAAGCTACTGTGTTTTAGCTATATCTCTTTACATTATACTATTAGTGGTTGCTTAGGGATTAAAATATCCATAATATACAACGTTACCTTTTCAGTCTACTTAGAGTTGATACTGTTCCATCATATGTAAAATGTAGAAAATCTCTAACTGTATGGGTCCATTTGCTCCCTAGTCCTTCATGCTATGGTTGTCATGGGTATGATATCCACATACATAATAAACTCCAGAAAACAATGTTGTAACTTTTTAACAGTCTTATGTATTTTAAAGAAATTAAGGTTTTTGAAGTCTTTTATGTTTATTCACATATTTCCCAGTTTTGATACTCTTCACTAATCCCTTAAAAACTGAATTTCCAACTGTTATCACCTCCCTTCAAGTAACTTCTTTTAGCATTTCTCATGAATAACAACACATTTTCTATGTGTTCTTTAATCTGAAAATATTTTCATTTTTGAAGGATACTGTCCCTTATTATAGAATCCTAGGTGGGCAGGTTTTTCTGTAAGCATTTTGGAGATGTTGTTCCACTGCCTTTTGGCCTCCATAGTTTTGGACGAGAAGTCTGCAGTATTTCCAAATCATCTTCCTCCAGGTACAATGTATATAGTTTTTTTCTGACTACCTTAAAGCTTTTCTCTTTCTTTTGATTTTCAGCGGTTTGATTAGGAGGCTTAGATGTGGTTTTATATATATTTATCCTCCTTAGGGTTCACTGAGCTTTTGAAACTAAAATTTATGTGTTCACCAAATTTAGGAAATTTTTTGGCTTCTATATCTTTAGATACTTTTTCTGCTACATTCTCTGTTGCTTCACTTGGGATGCAAATTGCGCATATATTAGAACTTCTGATAGTTTTCCCGACACTCTGTTCATTATTTCCAATCTATTTTCTCTCTCTTCTTCAGATTGGACATTGATACTTTTTATATTCAAGTCGGCTGACTCTTTCATCTGTGGTCTCCATTCTAGTAATAAGCCAATCCACTGAATTTTTAGTTTTAGCGATTACATTTTTTCAGTTCTAGAATTTCTATTTCATTTTTCTCATAATTTCTATTTCTTAGCTGAGATTTCTACTCTCTTCTTTCACTGCCAGCATATTTTATTTCATCTAATACAATTATAATATCTCCTTAAAAATCCTTGTCTTCTTAATTCCAACATCTTGAGATCATCTAGGATTGTTCTCAGTTGACTGACTTTTCTCTTGAGTCTGGATCACATTTTCAAGCAAGTTTAAATTGTATCCTGGAATGTTGTGTATTGGGAATGTTATGTTGCAGAGATTCTGGGCTGTTTTAATCCTCTAGAGAATGTTGATTTTTTGTTTTAGTAAGCTGTTTTAATCCTCCAGAGAACGTTGATTTTTTTGTTTTGTTTTTGTTTTTGTTTTGACCAAACTTAAACTGCAAACTCTGTCTCTTTCGTGTCAGATCAAATCATAGTTCAGATCTGCTTTTATTTTAACTGCTCTGAATCTGCCTAAAAGCATGTGTAGTTAGGGGTTGACCAGAGACTTGGGTAGATCTGTTTTTTGTTCGGTTGTTTGTTTTGGTCCAGAGTTTGTAGAGTTTATTTACAAGAGGGCTAGGTCCATAGGAGTTTCCCTCATGCTTGTTTCTAACACACCAGTGTTTTGCCCACCTGTCACAAAGCTCAGAGGCCTCTGAGCACGAATAAAAGACCAACTCTCTCTGGGCTAAGGGCAGAGGCAGCTGTGAGCAAACCTGTCTTCATTAGTTTGCCCAGGATACAATAACAAAATACCACATACTATGTAGCCTAAACAACAGAAATCTAATTTCTCACAGTTGTGGTTGGAAGAAGTCCAAACTCAAGGTGTCAGCACATTTGGTTTCTCCTGAGGCCTCTCTCCTTGGTATGTAGATGGCCATTGTTTCCCTATCTCTTCACAGTTTTCCTTCTGTGCCCATGTCCTGATCTCCTATTCTTATATGGACAACAGTTACATTGGATTAGGGCCCACCCTATGATCTCATTTAACCTTAATTACCTTTAAAGACTCTATCTCCAAATACAGTCATAATCAGAGGTACTGGAGGTTAGGACTCCAACATATGAATTTGGGAGGAAAATAATCCTGTAACACTGCCCTGTAAAAGCTGAGGACCACCCTCTCTTAAAAGGCTGTGATTAATTCAGTTGATAAACTCAATGGCACCCATGTCGTTACCATATTCTGATGAGAAACCTGAGGCTCAGGAAGATATAATCATGGAGCTAATGAGCAGCATGTCTGATACCAACCTCCAACATCAGGCCCGTCTGACCAGGAACCGACTTTGGGTCTTGGGCTCTGGTCTTCCAAGATCAACAGGTCATGGGCACCACCCACAGACCCCAAGACATCCTGTCACAGGACCATAAGCATCCGTAGGGTCAGTTCCCATACTGGATGGAGGGCACCAGATGGTTTTTGTGGGGCTGGTCTGTGGCTCAGCATCAGCTCCCAGCAGCCCCAAGAGTCTGGCCCGGAGGTGGGCAGTTTCCTCTCCAAGCCCCCCTGACACCCTATCCAGCACTTTACCTGAGGGGTGGCCCCTTTCTCACCATCAGCCTCCCCATGGCTGTGTGTTGCTGTGAATATGCCACATTTCAATGGTCTTTGATTTGACAATCAAAGGGAGAAACAGACACGGCTCCCTGATTGGTGTAAATCACTACAGAAGGTGTTCTGTATGGCTGCACACAGGTATGTGCCTTACCTCAGTGTGTGCTTTCCTTTGTCGTCCTCCACATGGACCAGGGCAGGCTTCCCAGAGAAGGAAGGTGCCTAGCAGAGTCTACAGTTCTGTCCCAGGGCATCCAGCATCCCACACTTGCCTCTCCCCACTGGGGACACACCAGAAATGAAAACTTCTGCAGAGATGTGTCCCACATGAGAGGGGTGGGCTCTTCTGAGGTGCAGCCAGAGGAATAAAGCAGTACCTGGAGTGAACAGAATTGAAATGTTCTGGAATACTTGGCCTCGATGTCATTTTAAAGTGCAGATGATACTGCAGAGCATGGCATGGACCTGCCTTGGGGCCACCAGAAAGTCTGGGTGGAAACGGAAGGAGTCAGGGCAATGCCATCGGCACCATGGGAGAGGATGGATAGCCAGAGGGGCTGCTGGCTGGTCCAATTCTCCACTGCTCTGTTGCTGGCTCAGTGGCATTTTATGTGTCAGAGATTTTTAACCAAGCTCTGCTACTGTCCCTCAGCTTCATTCATGCAATTATATTCATGCAGTAGATTCACGTACTTTGCCTCAATTATGCTGTCAGGGGAACCACCTGGCAACCCATTAATCCCCTGGCAAAGTCTCTGAGAGGCAAACAAATTCACAGAAGGATGGCTGACGATACTGAATTTCACCTGCTCCCCTCCTGTGGAAGGTGTCAGAGTACTCGAGCTCCCAGGGAGAAGCAGGTGGCTCAGGTGGCTCTGTCCTATGTTCTACAAGCTCACCCTTGCCACTGTCCAGCTGCTGCCAGTTCATCCCCCCCCTCAGGGAGGTGCCATATCACGGTGGGCAAACCCCAGAAAAAAGGGTGCAACGTGCATGCAACATGCCACCCAGTGTAGGGTCACAACAGGAAGATGTGCAATTACAGGGACAAAAATACCCCGAGGAAATCAACACGGGACTTATTAATATCAGATCCATAGGTGACAACTGTCAGACAATCGGTCAACAAGGCCTCGTGTCTGTGTGATCCAGGCTAACCCGTTACGATCTTTATGAAGTGTCCTTCTGGGGGGTCCGGATCTTCAGATATGAGGGGAAGCCCTGCCCTTTTATTAGGAGCTAAGCTCTTTATACTCTGACCATATTGCAGCAGGTTAGAAGTCTAAGCTTTATTGTCTTATGTTATTGAAAATCCAGATTCCGGCAGGCTTCTCCCTCAGGTCACGCTTTGTCTGCGAATACATTCTCATTTCTCCATGTACAGAGACCGTCTGGAGAGAGGCAGAGAAAGATTATGACTGTAATATACTTAAATCCAATTTATTTGCCTCTCAAGAAACTTCCACCCTCCACAATAGCTTCCTACCCGAGATGTTGTCTTTAATTCTTTGGTGACAGGGAGAAACATGCGGCCCCGGCTTCCAGCAGGTATGGGCAGAGCAGGATGACATGGGTCCCCAGATGTCCGGGCCAGCGGGTGGCGGGAGTGCCCCAGGTGGAGGACCAGCACGGACTCAGGTTTCTGGCTCAGAACTTCTCATTTGTTGATTGGGGATAAATCCTCAGTTGCATGTGGTCACGGGAAGAGAAATACATTCACTAGAGAATAACAGGTTTAGGAAAGATCACCGGCCCCTCGACTTTGGCCACAGGCCCCCCCACTTCTGTTCTAAGTCAGTCAGGAGCGTGCATCTATCTGCTGGCTGCCATCTCCTGCCCAGGATTCTGCCCCAGCAGGGTGGTCCTTCAAGTCACAGTCAAGGTCTTCATTAGCCCGTGTTAACATTTCCTCCAGACTTGGCCTCTGGACACAGGCATGTAGGCTGGGAGGAAAATGATTCGGGGGGATTATTTTCTTCATTACCATTTGTTCAATTTAAATGATGGGATGCAAAGACCAGCCAGGGCAATCAGGAGGTATGGGCGAGGTCCAGGGCCTGGAGGGTGCCCAGCCACAGCCCCAGTCCCTCCCCACCCCCCCGCCCTGGCCTCGGACTGCCCAGTTCACAAGGTTGGCACTAGGCTGCCCTCCTGACTATCATCTGCAGGCCCTGCCCGCCGCCCATTCAGTGCTCCTTGGGACACAACCACTGAGCATCAACCATGTGCGCCCTCCCGTGATAGGCGTCCACAGGGGGAGGAGGCCGGTGAGGCAACCCGGAAGGAAGCCATGAACCGCCGGGTTCTGAGCTCGGAGACAGGGTCCCGGCTGGCAGGGAGGACCCAGGAGAAGCCTGGGAGAGGCTGGGCACAGTGAGTAACTGCTGCCAGTTTGCCTGGAACGTCCCCATGTTAACACCAAAAATCATGTGTCCCTGGAGACCCTCAGTCACAGACAGATTGGGAGAGTTGCTCACCTAGTAGCCAGGAATGGAGACAGAAGCCCCGACCAGTGCTGCTCTGTCCCATATGACTGGGCCCTCAAGGCAGCTTACAACCTGGGCCTGTTGTCTCATTCGTAAACCGCGGGCGATAAGGATGCCTCTTTACCTCTAAGAAACCTCATGGCTTCTCATACCCTATTTTGTGTGGGTACAGGCACTTGGGATGACCATGAATTGCTGTCCCCAGAGAGCTAATGGCATGATCCAGTGACAGATGTGGCAAAGTGCACAGCATCGAGGGCATGGGGTTTGGGATAAGAGACTGGCCTGCCAGGGGACGCTGGCTCCAAAGCCAACGGTAGGCTGTGAGGGTGCCCCAGGAAGGAACGCCCGGTCCTCTGCCCCTCTCCCTTCTCCTGGGATGATTATGAGAGTGGACGTGTCTGTGGGGATGCCAGGAGCTGCGGCTGGAGCAGTCTGAGCCTGGGTGCCACCTCTTTAAGGGAATGCTGGGAAATCTGGCTGCCAGCAGCATCAGCAGGCCTGGGGTCAGGGGCCCCAGACCCCACTCCCTATTGGGCTAGAGATGCCCTTGTGCCAGCCAGCAGCTTGCCAAGCAGCCCACAGAGCTCCCATAACTGCATCCTAACATCTGCTTGTCTGCCATGCAAGGCACGTGTGAACATTTGACTCTCTCCAAGGTGAAGGCCATGTCAAGGCCCCTTTGACAAAGCAGCTGAGGCAGTGGGTCATTTGGTTCACGGACACCAAGTAGTGGTGTCAAATTCTTACAATTCTTATTCTTCCAAAGAGAAATAAGACAGCATTAAAGGCCTCTGGTGATTCTCCCCTGCCCTGCCCCGTCCCGCACCTTACTCAAAGGAACAGCATGCAGAGGCCACTGTGGTGAAGCAGGAGGCCCAGCGTTTGGGGGGCACTGAGGGCTAGGGGGGCTTTGGGGAACTGTGCAGGCCCCCTTCCTCAGGGGAACACTCCTGGGCAGGAGCCAACACACAAAGGGATGCTAAGCCTTGGTGAGGACCCCACGGCCACCCCCAGACCTCTGAGGTGGGTGAAAGGTGCTGCACGGACCCAAATGGCATCACCTCCTTCTGACCCCTGAAGGGCAGTCTGCGACATCGGTTTTACTTGGAAAGAGACAGCGCTCCTGAGCTGACATCTTGCCTGGGAGAAGCTGTGCTGGAGACAGAATGTGAAGCAGCAAACCCCTACATGCCGGTGCTCTCACCTCCGAGCACACACGGCTCCACATGCTGAAGCCTCTCGGGACGCCAAAGTTTCCACATACACAGTCTGGGCTCAGGAGGTCCTTTCGGAGGTCTGGGGAGCAAGGCTCAAAAGGCACCTTTGGGCACAAATCTATACATAGACTCACTTCCCAGGAAAGCCACAAATTAACCAAAGAGCAGGAACATTTTACATATTAATAGATTTTACCAAATTGTCATCCAAAATGATCGTAACACCGTTTACAGCTACCAAGAGTGACTGAGTGCCTTTTCCACATCTTCACCAGCACTAAGTATTATGCTTTTAAAAAGAATTCTTGCTAATTTGATAGTAAGCTATCTAGATTAGATTTGCATACTCTAGCGTATGAATTTTAGCATTTTTGCCATAGGCAAAATTCAAGAGCAACCTCAGTGTCTATCAATAGTATACTGGCTATGAGAATTATTGTTTGTCTTAAAATGATGAGCCAGATCTGCGCTGATGCATACTCACATGCATGCATACACACACACACACACACACACACACACACACACACACACACACCCCACCAGGCAGAGTGTTGTGGGCATCCGGGTAGGGGGTGGGGTGGAGGAAGACATGAGATAGAGCACTGCCTGGGTTTCGGGGCCGGACCAGGGTTTGTGCTAAGTCAGACACTGTGTAGTCGCCAGGTCGATGGAAAGATCATTCTGCAAGTCTGCAAGTGTTAGCTACTCAGAGCAGTCTGGATGGAACTACGTTAACTGACAAAGGAAATATATTAGAAAACAAAAACTCTGCTACTTGGGATTGAATCTACATTCTTAGAAGAGTTTTATAAATGGGTTAAGTGCTTTCTTCAGCTCATTTTTTCAGAAGCAAATCTGTGATCCATTTTACTCTCCGTTTTCTAGAACAGTCTTGGCCCTGTGTGTCTCAGGGCTGGTGTGTTTCAGGCTGAAGCCTTGGAGCCTCTTGGCACTTCTCCTTGGAGCTGCCCAAGCCGCCCAAACCAGCCCCTCAGCACGGAGACTCCTTCAGCGCTGGCCCCCCTCCGCTCTCCCCGGGGCTGTGCTGCCCCCTCATCCCAAATGCCTGAAATCCACTCTGTTCTGTATCTGCTCCTGCCTTCTCAGACCCATAACTACTCAGAGGCACACGCCGTCTTCATCACTCCAACCAGATGTAGAAAGCCTACGTCTAACTGGTGTGGCAGGCAGGAAACCAGCCACGGAAGAAGGTCTAGGAAGGAAGGAGGGCAGACCTCATCACCTGGAGGAAAAGTGAGTGTGAATGGTGTCAGATGATACGAGGGAGTCACTGTTTTGTGAGATGTAGGGAAGTTAAAAGTGCGGCCAAGATATCCTCACCTGCTAAAGATACATGCTGGAGTCTTTAGGATGACATAAAACAATGCCTTGGTTTTGCTTCGTCCACCCCAGGACAGAAGTCCTCACAGAGTGAGAAGCAGCAAGACGGGCTGAGTCAGCACTTGATGAAGCTGGACGATGCACGGGGGAGCCCAGTCTCCAGCTCTACATGTAAGCAGATTTGAATCTCGCACAACACAAAGTTTTTGAAAGCACCGCCAATAGTAAAAAATAAATAAACAAGGGAGTTGAGGGGCCAATATACTTAAACCAAAATCAGTTATCATTATAAACATGTTGGTATTCTTAGAAAATCCAGGAGAATTAATTTGTTAAAATATTAAAAACGGGGGGCACCTGGGCAGCTCAGGTGTCAAACGTCTGCCTTTGGCTCAGGTCATGATCCCAGGGTCCTGGGATCGAGCCCCTCATCGGACTCCCTGCTCAGTGGGAAGCCTGCTTCTCCCTCTCTCACTCCCCCTGCTTGTTTTCCCTCTCTCGCTGTGTCTCTGTCAAATGAATAAAAAATTTTTAAAAAAAATTTTTTAAAAATCTTGAAAAAAAAAGAAAGTATTAAAAACGAGTAAGAAGGTGTTATCAGCCGGCCAGATCAAACACATCTATAAAGACCTAAAACTCCTCCCAAATACCAGCCACAGGAAATACCACTGGAAAACAGATTTTTAAAAAGATGTCATTTATAACAAGTGCTGGGTCCCATGTGCATGTGGGAGAAAGCCCCTGTGTTGCCCTTTGCTTTCTGGGTCCCTGAGCAGCTGAGACTTGTGATCTTCCAGAAGACCCCACAACTCCTTGCCTCTGAACTAGGGGACGCTTGAGCCCTGCCTCTTCATAACCAGGGCATCCGTCCACCCACTGCTTAAACCAAAAGGAAGGACTGACGCCCCAGGGCAGTGCAGAGCTCAGCCTCCTGCAGGGAGGACCTGCTTGCAGCTTGTAGATGGTGGGCAGTTTTTTAGTTTGCACATGATAGATTTGAAACTCTGAGCGTTGGGGCTCACGGGCACCCAGCCCAGCGGGCCCTCGTAGTCTGTAGCACCCAACGGCACATCAGCCATGTGAGGGGCAGAGCTCCCAGGGCCTCCCGTGACCAGCACCTCTCAGCCTGCAGACTGCAGGCACCCAGCTCTTACCTGCAGCTCTCTCCCCTCAGAAGCTTGAGCTTAGTGGGAGATGGTCACACCTGCTGTGATGATGGCTCCCACAGAGCCACGGCCAGGGCCCAAGGGCCCGTGGAGGTGAATAAGACCCACCCCTGAAGAAAGTTTTGGACTGGACCCAGGGAGTTGGGTTTCCCTGGAGGGCAGGGACCAGCTTGATCTTCGGGCCTAGGCCTGGCCACTGGAGACCATGAAGGTGCTTCCCAGCAGGGCAGGTTCTGGGGGAGGCTTCTTCTGTCCTGCCCGGGGGTTGTGCTGCGGCCTGCTCTCCCATGCTCATCAGAGGACTTCCATCCCAAATCATTACACCTGTCACTGGCTGCCACAACTTTTGAGAACAGATCACCACGTGTCACATATTGGCAGGCTGAAACCAGCAGGTAATCAGAAAGGTGGGGACCCCACATGAATGTGCTCCGAGATGGGGCCAGCACAGCCCCTGTGCCTCCAACCCTGGATCGGCACCTCTGGGCCTGGCACCCTTGCAGGTTTGTTTGCCTAGAAACCATGGCACAGCGTTGCTGGTAGCTGTCTAAAGCTTAAGATCTTTAGGGGCGCCTGGGTGGC